CCCCAAAACCCCAAAACCCCAAAACCCCATGAGGCAAGAATTCAGGAATAAATTAAGTAATGGTATTATGATTATTATCAAAATATTAAAATTTTAGTGTCTTATTGCCAACAAATACAGAAAATGGCAGATAAAAATAACAATTAGTCACCGTAAAATTGCTAATCTAATGAAGAGGGTATGATATTGATAAAGATATATGTACTTAAAAAGTAATTGTTTTAATAGATGAGGTATGGGCTAAGATGAACTCCCTCACTAAAAAAATAAAGAATGTTGAGATACGACACACGCATTTTACTATTGGTCGGGCCTCTGGCAACTTGATATAAATCAAAGATATTAGATTGTCTGGGCGTCATTGCATTATCAATAGAATGCTTGACGAAAACGGGAAAATGATAGTTTGTTTGGAGGACGCTTCAACTAATGGCACTTATCACAATGGCTCGTTGGTAAGTAAAAAACCTAATAATCAAAAAACTAATATTCATCTTTCAAATAATATGTTGATCAGAAATCTATTAGATCGGAAAAGGGTCAACCAGAGAACTGAAAAATGGGGATGAAATATTCCTACTCAAGGAAGGAGAGGGCGTTTCTACAGAAGATGAAATCGGCTTCATTTTCGTTGTTTTAAAAGATTTTTCAAAAGCTGAATAGCCGAATTCATAAGACAAGGCTAATGATCAGGAAAAGCTTGAAAAAGAAATTGAGAAATCAAGATTAGAGATCAATCAATCAAAGGAAGAGCTAGAGAAAAAAGCTTAGGAGGAGCAGAAAATCAGGAAGTAGATTTCTTAAATGGCTGATTAATTCGATTGCGGCATATGCTACATGACGATGCATTAGGCTGTGTCTTTAATGCCTTGCTTGCATACATTTTGTGGAGGCTGTTTCTCCGACTGGCTGAACAGATAAAAAGATTGCCCAAGTTGTCGCGAGAATGTAGTAGAAGTAAAAAAGCATTCCCTTATAAATTGCTTAATTGAAAACTATTTGAACATTAATCCTTAGCTCAAAAGATCAGAAGAGGAAATAAAGCACCTTGAATCGCTGAATATGTTCAAAAATGATATAGTAAGGTTTATTTGTATCTTTGAACTCTTATTAGGTCAATATCGATAAATTGCTTGAGGAGCAGCAGAAACAAAAGAATGCCAAGTTATAAGCGCAGCAGTAACAAGAGTAGTAAAATAAAGACATTAAAATGAAGGATGAAAGTGAAAACAATGATTAAGAAGATCCAGATGGTTTAATTAGTTCTGAAGACTCCGCTGAGGAAGAACTGCCTTAAAAAAGGGTTATGAATAAAAGAGGAGTAAAAACTCCGATTCCTAAACCCACTAAAAAATAGTAAAAACCAATAAGGAAAATACCTGTGACTATATAAAATAAGAAAAAAGCAGTCGCTCCTGCTAAAAAAAGATGAGAATATTCTTAATAAATCAATTGTGAAAATGTAGAATTAGTGATACCCCCAATTTCTGCCCTAATTTATGATTAAATGTTAATTTAGAAAAACTATACCATAAGATTTAAAATATTTACTAATATCTTTGCTTAATCGAAGTTAAAATATAAATTAAGTTTAATTTAAAATGAGAAATAACACTAAATTGCTGATTACTGTCTTGATTATATGTGCATTAGTTTTCCTTGCACCAGTTGAAGGTAAAAAGAAGAAAGGCAAGATGGGAGGCATGGGTGGAATGGGCGGCGGAAATGGCCGTAAGTTTATATTATATTTCTTATAATTTGCAAACTAGCCTTTGGAAACAAGAAATCTCAAATGATTTTCGTTACAATCAGAGAGGGCTACATCGATCCAGCAGGCATTGATAAGATGGCAAAGGATTTCCAGTCAATCATGTCTACTGGTGGCATCTAGGTAGGAATTGTGGGAGTTGACAAGAACCAAATGATCGCTGTTGCCAATAATATCAAGGAACTGATTGAGATTAGAAAATTCGCAGTTTAAATGGAGTAGGTACTGAAAGTAGAGTATGAGAAAACAAGTTTCCCTGGTAAATACATCACTGAAGAAGAAAGAAAAGCAAACAATCTCAGAGAAGAAGACACCAAAGATGATCTATGAGTAGCCTCCCTTAATGATTTAGCATTAACTTAAGATAGAAACTAGACTTAGCAGGATGAATTTTTGATGATGCGTTTAGAGCTCCTAAGATTTTTCTAGATTATTTATTCTAATCATAAACACGTATAGAATTTCCTAGAATGGGGTTTTGGGGTTTTGGGGTTTTGGGG